CATCAGTTCTGGCTGCAAATGCCTTTGTCTTCTCTGACATCTTCTTGCAAGCCCCATAACAGGTATTTCCCTACTGTGTGTGTGTGTGTGTGTGTATGTGTGCCTGCCACAGAGAGGTGTGGAGGGAGTCTGGTCTTTCTTTTCACCTTGTGGGTCCTGTTTGAACTCAGGTCATCAGGCTCAGTGGAAAGCTTCCTTACCCTCTGTGGCATCTCCCAGGGTTCCTCACTGCCCTAATTGAAAAAATTTACCCATCAACCTACAGGAAAAAATCATATTCAAACTTAAACATTACTTGTAAGCCGGGCGTTGGTGGCACACGCCGTTAATCCCAGCACTCGGGAGGCAGAGGCAGGCAGATCTCTGTGAGTTCAAGACCAGTCTGGTCTACAAGTGAGTTCCAGGACAGCCTCCAAAGCCACAGAGAAACCCTGTCTCGGAAAAAAAAAAAAAAAAAAAAAAAACCAAAAACCAAAAACAAAACCTTAACCCCCTAGACTGGGAGTGGTGGAACACGCCTTTAATCCAAGAATATGGAGGCAGAGTCAGGTGACTCTCCAAGCCTGGTCTACATAGTGAGTTCCAGCACAGCTAGGGCCATTATACAGGGAAATCCTGTCTTGGAAAACCAACCCCTGCCCCTCCTCTGCCCCCCACAAAGCTTAACTCTTTTGCTTTTGTTGTTATTTTTGAAACAGTTTCCCTGTTAGCCTTGTCTGTCCTGGAAATCGCTATGTAGACCAGACTGGCCTCAACTCACAGGAGTGCTGGGATTAAAGGTGTATGCCACCACCACCCAACAAAACTGTAACTCTTTATAATATGAATTTCTTCTAGTCCTTGAACAGAGAACGTGGTGTCTCATGATCTCAAACATTAGGATCATCCTTTTAACCTAGCTAACTTTACCTATAGGTCACGGGGCACACATTCTGGGGACCACCCTTTCCCTGCCCTAAAGTCTCACCCTGCCGCAACCCGCTGTGGGGCGGGCGCCCCTGTTCTTCACAACCCCGGTGCAAGCCCATTGTCTAATCCGCAATAGGGCTGCAGATTGACTTGACAGTGGCTGAGTCTCCAGCACCTAGGACAGGGCCTGGCACGAAGTAGGGCGCAGTGAGAGGTGCGCAGTGAACTGTCGTGAAAGGATGCGCCTTTAGGAAGGCGGCCCCAGGGGTCGCAAGGGTCGCCTAGGTGGGGAGGGCCAAACGTTCCTTTGCCAGGGTGTGGTTCAACTCAGCCAACTCCACCCTCCACCACCCAGGGGCCGCGCTGAATCCCTTCCGGCTGGCAGGCTGCAGGAAGTGGAGCTCAAGCTAGCTTCCCATGATGCTCCGCGCGGCGTCTATTTATTTTAACCGCAGGGCGACTGAGCAGTAGCGATGGCTGCGCCCAGGCCAGAGTTCCTGTCTGAGCCGGCTCCCGTGGCCGTGCCCGGTAAGGCATGGGATCCAGAGCTTGGGGGCCTGTTTCTTCCCTGCTGCTACCTCCCTGGAGGAAGTCAGCCGCTGCGCTTCCTCCGTCGTTCCTCCCTGTCCCTTTGGTTCCCGGTGTCCCGGCCGGCCCGAGCTGGCCCTGTGGGTCACTTCCTCGCTTTGTGTGGAGTTGCTTCTCCTGCCGTGTCCTTTCGGGTGTGCTGGCCCCCACGCCACCCTTCATAGCGAAGCCTCACTCTGTCTCCGAAAGCCTCCTTGTGTCCGATGTCATTTAAGTCGCCCCCCCGCCGGGCCAGCATCTGGTCTCCTGTCACCGCCCAGGGTGTATGGGGGCGTCTGCTGCTGTGACCCCTGGGAACGAGAAGAGTGATGCTGATTTTGATCCCCCCTCTCTTTAACTTTTCATTCACGGACTAGATTTGGATTGGTACGAGAAGCCGGAAGAAACTCATGCTCCCCAGATAGACCCCGAGACCGCCATCACGCCACCCCAGGAACCTTCCAATCCTCCGGAGCCCTTTTGCCCGAGAGACTTGGTGCCGGTGGTTTTCCCAGGGCCCGTGAGCCAGGAAGGCTGCTGTCAGTTTACTTGTGAACTTCTAAAGCATATCATGTACCAACGCCAACAGCTCCCTCTGCCCTATGAACAGCTTAAGAACTTCTACCGAAAATCTCCCCAGGTATGCACAGGCTTTGAAAGAAAATTGGTGGGAAGACCTTGTGGCCCTTAGATGGTGGACAAGTAGGAAAGTGAGTTAAGAAATCCTCAGTTTCCGTGGCAGCCTAGGCCTTTGCAAAGTCTTCCCTTCCTCATAATTCGCCCCACTTGGGTCTTGGTGGTGTCTCTACTCTTCCCTTGCTCTCTGTCTGAAACTCTTTCTTCCTAGTATGTGTCATATGAGGACATCATGAATTTGTTCTCTAAATTTTTTATTTTTTTGAAACAGAATTTCGCTATGTAGTTGGGGCCAGAGATCTGCCTGCCTCTCAACTTCCCCAGTGACTGTTGGGTTATAAGAGTGCACCACCACATCTTGTCTTTCCTTAATGGTCTCTCCTCCCTCCTTCCCTTCCTTCCCCTCCCCTTCCTTCCCCTCCACTCTTGGGACTCCAAGGCCTCCCACACACTAGAGAAGTGCTGTATTACTAAGCTATAACCCCACACCTGAACTAGCTGCTTACATCTGAATTTTTTTTTCTCACCACATTTTCACCTCTGTTTTTGGTTTTGTTTTAATGTATTTTCTTTGGAGAATTTATTTTTTTAAAGATTTTTTTTTATTTTATTATGTACATATGTACAGCAGAAAAGGGCACCAGATTTCATTATAGATGGCTGTGAGCCACCATGAACTCAGGTCCTCTGGAAGAGCAGCCAGTACTCTTAAGTGCAGATCCATCTCTCCAGCCCCATGAGACCCTGTCTTAAAAAATGATTCAAAAAAAAAAAAAAAGTTAAAGGGTATTAAAATTCTCCCCAGAGTTTCCTCACAGAGGTTTTTGCTCAGCACTGCCCCCCATGCTTTCTACCTGCCTACACTGTCTAGTGGACTTGCTTCCTGGGGGTGTCTCCTTTACTAGCAGTTGATAATCAGCTCTCCTAACTCTTAATTCACCCCCCCCCCATTTGGTGCTGGGACTGTCTCTTTATCTTCTGAAGCTTCTTTTTGTTTTTTGTTTTTTTGAGACAGGGTTTCTCTGTGCAGCTTTGGAGCCTATCCTGGCACTCGCTCTGGAGACCTGGCTGGCCTCGATCCACCTGCCTCTGCCTCCGGAGTGCTGGGATTAAAGGCGTGCGCCACCAACGCCCAGCCTTCTGAAGCTTCTTGCTTGTGGCCAATGTTGTACATTCTTTCATGCTTTCTTTACAGGGAGCTCTTTCTAACTCACTCCTTCTTCTCCCTTAATGAACTTCTTTTCTTGCTATTTTAGGAGGAAGCATATATTAATGAGTGAGTGTGTGAGAGAGGGAGGGAGAGAGAGAGAGAGAGAGAAGAGACTGGGTACCTGTGCCACAGTGGAGGTCAAAGGATAATTTTGTGAAGTCATTCTTTCCTGTCTTTACTTGTGTTCTGGGGATCTGAACTCAGGTTGTCAGGCTTGTGCAGCAAGCCCCTTTAACTGCTGAGCCCTCTCACCCCCTTGTGACTATTTTGATGCCCTCCAGCTTTTCTTTATTTTTGGTTTTTCGAGACAGGGTTTCCATGTGGCTTTGGAGGCTATTCTGGAACTAGCTCTTGTAGACCAGGCTGGCCTTGAACTCACAGAGATCCACCTGCCTCTTCCGAGTGGTGGGATTAAAGGCGTGCGCCACCACCACCCAGTGCCCTACAGTTTTTCAATACCATCTTGCGATTCAAGGCATAGAGAACTGTAGTTTATACAGTGCATGTATTTCCCTAATTTAATGCTTTCTGATAAAGCCCAATGTCAGAAATCTTGTGTATCTCCACGGGGTTCCTCCAAGGCCATTCACTTCATCCTACACATCCTTTTCTTCCATCATTCTTTGTCTTACAGGCAGAGGCCACTGTAAGGAAGAAACCTAGGATCACCACTGAGGTGAGCAGCAAGAAGTGTCAGCAGACTCTGGCAGAACTGGAGAGTGTCCTCAGTCACCTAGAAGACTTCTTTACCCGAACACTGGTCCCACGGGTGTTGATCCTTCTTGGAGGCAATGCCCTCAGCCCCAAGGAATTTTATGAACTTGACTTGTCCAGGCTGGCCCCCTTCAGTGTGGACGAGAGCCTGAACACAGCAGCTTGTTTGCGCCGTCTCTTCCGAGCCATCTTCATGGCCGATGCCTTTAGTGAGCTGCAGGCTCCTCCACTCATGGGTACCATTGTCATGGTACAGGGGCACCGTGACTGTGGAGAAGATTGGTTTCGACCTAAGCTCAACTACCGAGTGCCCAGCCGGGGCCACAAACTCACGGTGACGCTGTCCTGTGGCAGACCTTCCATCCCAGCCATGGCTTCAGAGGATTACATTTGGTTCCAGGCACCAGTGACACTTAAAGGTTTCCATGAGTGACTGAATGAGGACAATGGCTGAATTCTCCCCTGTGGTACCAAGGCATCCATCTCGTGTTTGGAACTGAAGCTGCTTCCTGGTGAGGGAGGAAGTCTCTGTCCTGGTGGTATGCCTCCTCTCCCCAGACTGCCTGGTGACTGGTTTGTGGCTGTGACTGTGATAATCATCAAGTAAAGTCCCCGAATCAATGAATGACTGGCAGAGGCCTCTGGGTCTGGTAGTTCTGTTGAGGTTAGAAAGCATGGAGGTGGCCCTTCTCTGCTTTATTCTGTGACTGCAGAACTGTTTGTTACCAGGGTCATAGTTTGAGCAAGACTGATGAATTTAAATATGAAATGAATAGAGTTGTATTAAATTTTCCCAACACTTTTGACTTAGACTTTTTTGCTTTAAGGCTCATGGGTTTTTGTTGTTTTGCTTTTTGTTTTTGAGAAAGTCTTGTGTATCCTATGTTGGCTTTAAATGTGCTGTGTGTGTAGGAGAGGATAACCTTGACCATCTAATTCTCCTTCCTCTCCCTACCAGATGTTGGGATCCTGGGCATATGCTGCCATACCTGGTTTACTTGGTGCTGGGGTTGGAATCCAGGTTTTCATTTTTGTTTTTCAAGACAGGGTTTCTCTGTAGCTTTGGAGCCTGTCCTGGAACTTACTCTTGTAGACCAGGCTGGCCTCCAACTCACAGAGATCCGCCTGCCTCCCAAGTGCTGGGATTAAAGGCACTTACTCTTGTAGACCAGGCTGGCCTCCAACTCACAGAGATCCGCCTGCCTCCCAAGTGCTGGGATTAAAGGCGTGTACCACCAACACCCATTGGAATCCAGGGTTTCATTCATGGTAAGCACACTGTCAACTGAGCTACGTCCCAGGCACTAAAAGTTAGCCCAGGTTACCTCATGCTTGTGATCTCCATCCTCTCAGAATTTGCTTGCTTCAGAATTTGTGTGCATCTCTACAGGTGTTTTGGGCTGGGCTTTTCTGCTTCTGGGATTCCAGGATTTTACCTGTGACTTTCCCTGTTCTGTCAGTTCCAGTCTGTGAAGTTTAAGTGACTTGGTCAAGGTTCTAGAAGGGAGTTGACACCAGACCTGGGCCTAGTTCTCATCTGCTAACTTCTAACTAACGCTCTTTTCTGACACACACTAACTGACTTTTGACCCTTAAATTCTGTATGCTCAAAGCAGAGATCACTCCCCTACCCCCAACCCCCAGACAAGGTTTCCCTGTGTAGCTTTGGAGCCTATCCTGGCACTCGCTCTGGAGACTAGGCTGGCCTTGAACTCGCAGAGATCCGCCTGCCTCTACCTCCCGAGTGCTAGGATTAAAGGCATGTACCACCAATGCCCAGCTCAGGGGTCACTTTTGCTGTAGTAAGGAACTTGGATTGGCAGGCCAAGGACTGAGAGCCCAAGGACATAGGGAACAGTCTGGCCTGTGCCTGGTCTCGGGTAGACTCTAAGCAGATGTGCTGCAGGAGTGTGCAGAGGAACCCCCACAAAGACGGTTGTAGCTCAGAGAGCAGCAGCCACAGCCCTATTCAAAAACCCATTACCTGGAGCTTCTGTTGGTGGTCAGCTGGGACCAGGGAGTGTTACAGTACTCAGGCTCATGAAGTCAGTCCCCTGTTGATTAGCTTAGAGTGTGCCATATACCTTCTTCCTGTGTTCCTGTTCCTTCTGGAGAATCTGTCCAACCTGTCTCTACTACTTGATGGCTGCCATTGCTTTTGGCAAAAATGGTCTCTCACTCCTGGCTGCAAATGGAGGACAGAAGAAGCCTACCCTGCTGAGGGAGATGCGGGGTGCCAAGTGGTTAGGGTAATGTGTGTGAACTGCCTGAAACTAAGTGTGAGTTTTATTTTTGTTTCTTAAAAAAAATTTTGAGGGCGGGGCAGTGGTGGCTCACGCCTTTAGTCCCAGCACTCAGGAGGCAGATGTAGGTAGATCTCTGTGAGTTTGAGACCAGCCCTGATCTACAAGAGCTAGTTCCAAAGCCACAGAGAAACCCTGTGTCGAAAAACCAAAACAACAAAACAAAATAAAACAAAATTTTGAGACTATTTCATGTTACTTGAACTTAATATGTAGCATAGAACGACTTTGACCTTCCCACCTCTGTCTACTAAATGCTAGAATAATAGGCAACCCGGCCAAGTTTTTACTTTGTTTCTTTTCATGTTTTGGAAGCTGAAAGTCCAGTCTTGGGGAGCCTGTAGCAATCCCCTCCCCCTTTTGATCATATTCATCCCAGACTTCCCCTTCTGTTTTCCCCTAACTGCTCAAATGACCCCTTCCACCTTCATGTCCTTTCTATATGAATTCAACTTGCAGGCATCATGGCATTTTAATTCTATTTTAATTCTACATACTTCAGTATGCTACTCTGCTGTGCCCTCAATAGAGGCTGTTTCCCCAATCCATGGTCCATGATACCAGGCTGGCCTCTTGGCATCTGCCCCCATGCTCCTTGGCCTATACGCTTTGTTAAGCACTTACACCCAAGGCCGGGTGGGGTAGGGCAAGCCTGTAGTCCCAGCATTTGGGAGGCAGAGTTTAAGCGCAGCCTGGTCTACAAAGTAAGTTCCAGGAAAGCCAGAGCTACAAAAAGGGACCCTGTCTCAAAAAAAAAAAAAAAAAGGAAAAAAAAGGCACTTATTTATACACATTATTTAGTGCTAATTTACATGTGTATGTTACTATTTTAAACCTGAGAATTCTGAGGAGAAAAACCAAGTTCACAGCTATCTGATTAAAGCAAGCTGTATCATGGGGTATGCAGGAACTGGCCAGTCCAGCTGCCTCTCCCTAAATCAGGATTTTAGAGAGCAGCCCCTGTGAGCCTCTTGAAGCCCCTTTTATACCAGAGATAAAATGTTTACAGGGGCAAGAGAGTGGAGATAAAATGTTTACAGGGGTGAGAGTTGGCTCTTAAGTATTGTTAAAAAGATACAATGAAGCCTGAAGCTGGTCGTGATGGTGGCGGTGCTGGCCTTTGATCCCAGCACTTGGGAGGCAGAGGCAGGCACATCTCTGTTGAGTTCCAGGCCAGCCTGATATACAGAGGGAGTTCTAGGAAAGGCTCCAAAGCTACACAGAGGAAACAAACAAACAAGAAAGATACAGTGTAAGGGAAGGAATGAGGGTAAGGATGTACATTTTGAGTATGAAGTTGCAAATTTAGTGTAGACTGAAAAACATGGTTTGCAGTTTACATCATATCTAAGAAACAGGAACTTATTCTTAATTACAAATAGAAATTTTAACTTGCAAATACTTAACACAGGACAAACAGGAACTTAATTGTCTTAACTGCAAACAAGAAGCCTTAACCTGCAAAGTCCATTTTCCCTTTTTGGTATCACACTGACTTACAAGGTGTCTTATTTCTGTTTTGGTCTCACAACTGCTCCATTATAGATGAGGTTTGGGGAGATGAGTATGCCTCCATGGTGAGGCATGAATTCAAGCCTGCTCACTGGCCTGCAAACACTGCACCCCTCTGTGCTGGGACATTGGTGTGGTTTTCTCTGAAATAGCCAGGATTTATTCCTGCCCCAAATGGGCACATTACACAGCTTTGGGATTCCCCCTCCCTTTCGATTCTGGTCTATAGGTAAATCCAGAACCATGTTGAAATCGCCTGACGTGTATCCCAGCAGCCAGACTGGTTGTTTTTCTGATAGTATTTCTTTACGGAAGAATTGGGCTATATTGCCAAAGCAGGGCAGGAAATGGTGGAGGGGGGGATCTAATAAGAGCAGTGATGTGGTGAATGGAGCCATAAGTTGTTTTAGATGAAAGACCTATCCCGGGTCAGTTGTCCTTAAATGCTCATTTAAAACACCATGACAAACAGTGCTCAGGCAATCAAAACAAAGTAATTATCTGAGTGATTTAGACATGTTTCTCTATGGGCTTGGCTTGGAGGCCCAGGGCATTTTGACTTCATGAACCTTCCCCAAAGGAATCCAGAGATAAAAAGGTTGCTACAAATCAAGCCTAACTTCCTGAAACAAGCTTTCCGAGGAACCTGTTGATTATGAGTTTGTCTGGGGACTCCAGAAGTAAATGTAAAACAGCAGTGGTTATGTCAGCCTGGGGAATGCAGAGTCCGATGGTAGTGGGGTGTGGCTCTTCCATCTGTCTGTTGCTGCCATGTAAGCCCAAACAGTTGTGGGGCCCAAGGTTATGTCCCTGTAGGTTGTAGCTAATATGCACATGTAGTTGCTTTTTAAATTTTTTGGAGACAGTATCTCACTAGTCCACAGGCCGATTTACAGTGCTTCTAGGACAGTCCCTGCGTGTTAGATAGGCCAGGCTGGCCTAAAACAAAGATCTGCCTGCTCTGGCTCCTGAGTGCTGGTATTAAAGGTGTGGCCACCACCCCTGGAAAGTCACCCTTTCCACAGCATCCTTTCTCAAGGAGTGGTTCCGTATCTCACTTCATTGTCTAATTATTTGTCACACTAGTCCAGGGAGTAAAAGAGCTCTGGAGTGAAGAAAACTGGAGGGGAGAGAATGGACAGCGTCTAATTGGTGACACCTGGCTTCCAGTGGGCTTAGAGGGCGTCAGAAAGAAGTGCTTTTAGAGTCAGGAGGTGTCAGATTCTTCATAAAATTCTCAGCAAGAAGTGATAAGCCTGGCCTGAAATCATACAACGAATGCCGTTGTTGGGGCTTTGTATTGGTTGGTGGAGCGCAGGACTTAATAATAAGCGCGTGTACGGAGCTGGTCTGCTCTATCAGGAAGCTGCGCCGGGACAATAAGACACTTCTGTCTGGACCACGCAGTGGAAGAGGAAAGGACTGGTGGCACTCCGGGCTCCAGGAAAGGGCGGGTTTGGAGAGACAGGCGGTCCGATGGGTGGGACTTTGCTTCCTACTAGACTGAGGGGCGGGGCTCAGGGTCTCCATGGAGACGGCTTCTAGCCATCGCACTAGCGTGGAGGAGAAGGGCTGGCCCGATGGATGCGGACAGCCTCTTGTTGTCGCTGGAGCTGGCGTCTGGCAGTGGGCAGGGCCTCAGCCCGGACCGTCGAGCCTCCCTGATCACGTCCCTTTTGCTGGTTAAGCGCGATTACCGCTTTGCTCGGGTCCTTTTCTGGGGCCGCATCCTCGGCCTTGTTGCGGATTACTACATCGCACAGGGCCTGAGTGAGGACCAACTCGCACCACGCAAGACGCTTTACAGGTGAGGCGACCGACCGTGTGGCAGGCGAGGCTGCAGGAGAATACCGTAGGGTGGTGGGAGCCGCTACAGCAGGGAGAGCTGAGTGGGCAGGACCTGTCCTGGAAGCACCGAGAAGGCTTCCAGGGCGGGGCCTGAGGAGGGAAAAGTTCAGTTGAAGAGCTTGGGGGCTGGAATGTCACGGCCAGTGTGAGGGTCTTGTGGATCCTGAAAAGTGGCTGCGGGTGGGGGTGGGGACTCAAGGGTTGTCAGTCTGGAGGAGCAAGAGAAACTGGTGTGGATGGGTTCGTAATAGAGGGAAATGAGAGGTCCTGGAGAAGGCGACCTGGCGTAGAATTCAGGTTCCAGCTGTGGACTGGATTTGGCTTGGAGAAGTCTGACGCTCTTGGGGTTGTGCTGGAGCTGTTTGGAAGCATCTCCCATGGGGATGTGTGCTCTGCAGCGGGCGGTGCTCTTGGAAGCCGAAGGCTTGTGGAATGGGTACAGATACGCAGACAAATCACTCATATACACAAAATGATTTAAAAGTTTAAAAGACCATGTCTTTAAAAGAGAGAGAGAGAGAGAGAGAGAGAGAGAGAGAGAGAGAGAGAGAGGAGAGCTGCTCAGGGTTCTGACGCTGCCAGCTGTGGGTGCCTCTAAACCCTCCACTCTGACTAGAGAAGGCTTTGTGTGTCTGGGAAAGAGATGGGAAGTGAGTTTGACAGAAGCAGCATGGTTAGGCAATTCAAGAGTTTGAACTTTGTCCATAGGCCACCAGGGGACACCAGAGGGGTTACATATAAGCAAGAAGAGACTGCTCAGATCTGACTGGGCAGTGGTCTGGAAGTGTGTGTGGGGTGAGCATTTAGGTGTCTTTGCAGTGCCCAGAGGTGAGGGTTTGGAAGGGAAAATAGCTGAGGTTATTGGAGCCGTTAAAGACGGAGACTATGACAGGTTGGATGAAGGTGGACAGAGTTCGCTGTTGGTCCATCCACTGGATGCAGATAAATGTCAGCCCTGATTACTATTGAGAATGCAGGTATCAGGATCTGGCTCCGGCCTGTAATCCCAGCATTCGGGAAATTGAGGCAGAAGGAGTTCAAGGCCAGCCTGAACTACCAAACCTTACGGAAGGCAGAGTGGCCAGAATGAGGTGTCTGGGGGCAAAGAATGATAAGGCATATAAACTCCAGATGGGAATCCACATTTGGGCTAAAGATAAAAGATTTGCCTTTGTTGAGCTCCTACTCCTACTATGTGCTGGAAAAGGTAACACAAACTCTTTGTCTCTGTGGAGCTTCTGTTATAGTGTGTATTTGGGAGCCATATGGATGGTGCCAGGGAGACAGGGAAACAGTGGGTGGAGTAGTGTTTTCTTTCCTTTTCTTTTCTTTTTAAAGATTTTATTTATTTATTGTGTGTGCAGTGTTCTGCCTCCATGTATGCCTGCAGGCCAGGAAAGGGCAACAGGTGTCATTACCATGTGGTTGCTGGGAATTGATCTCAGGACCTCTGGAAGAGCAGTCAGTGCTCTTAACCTCTGAGCCATCTCTCCAGCCCTATTTTTGTTTTCTTGTTTTTTTCAAGACAGGGTTCCTCTGTGTAGTCCTGGCTGCCCTGGTAATTGCTCTGTTTATCAGGCGGGCCCCCAACTCAGAGATCTGTCTGCCTCTGCCTCTGCCTCCCAAGTGCTGGGGTCAAAGATGTGCCACACCACCACTTGAACCTATTTATCTATACGATGGGTCACTCTGTTATGTAGCATTTGACATTCTGGAACTTACCTGCCTCTGCCTACTGAGTGTTGGCATTAAAGGTGTGAGCTACCCCTGTCCAGCTCCCTGGCAGCTTCTTGAATGATGGGAGCAGAAATCACGATGCAGTGAGGAAAGAAACACCCCTACCTGCTACCCTTCCATCCTACCCGACCTCACCCCACCCCACTCTACCCCTGCCACACACACACTGTAAGCACAGGGTCTCAAGTATTCTAGGTGGCCTTGAACTCACTACATTGTCAAGGATGACCTTGAATTTCAGATTCTCTATTTCTGTTTCCTAAATGCTTGGGATTACAAGTGCATCGTAGAAACAAACAAACACAAGCAAACAACAGCACAACACTGGTTTTCTTGTTTGGTTTGTGTGTGTGTGTGTGTGTGTGTGTGTGTGGGTGTGTGTGTGTGTGGTGGGGACCAAACCTATAACTGAACAAAAAGCAGTTTAAAGAGACCCATCTGAATTTCGCAGTCCAGATGTCTTTAATGTCAGCATACACACAGCCAGGACTGGAATTGGCTCCACTTAAAGTGTGGTAACTTGACAGCAGTGTTTAGTAGAAAGCGTGCCTTGCACTGAATTTGGATCTTGTCCCTGGCTAGTGACAAATGTGATTTAATTCCTCATCCAATCCTGAGCAGTGGCAGCAAGCAGCAGTTCCAGGCTGTGTGTCCAAGCTATGGTGTTGGCCAGTTTAAGGGCACTTAATGCAGTTTAGACTTAGGAGCATTTTAAACTTACTGTGCTGGTAGTTGGTTGGGCTTTTTTGTTTTTGTTTTTGTTTTTTTGTTCCAGACAGCATTTCTCTGTGTAACAACTCTGGCTGTCTTGGAACTGGATTTGTAGACCAGGCTGGCCTTGAACTCACAGAGATCCACCTGCCTTTGCCTCCGGAGTGCTGGGATAGTTTTCCATCAATTTGACACAAACTGAAGTCATCTGAGGGGGGAACCTCCATTAAGAAAGTACCTCCTTAAAATCAGGCTGTAGACAAAACTGTAGGACATTTTCCTATGTAGTAATTGATGGGGAGGGCCCAACTCATGGTGGGCCCTATATTACTCTGTGTGAGCCACTGTCAATTTATTAGACAAAATGCTGGTCCCCGAGGCAGGGTGGTGGCAGCGCATACCTGCCTTTAATCCCAGCACTTGGGAGACAGAGGCAGATGGATCTCTGTGAGTTTGAGGTCAGCCTAGTCTACAGAGTGAGTTCCAGGACAGTGACACAGGACGGTGACACAGGACGGTGACACACACCCTGGATGAGTTAACACAGACCCTGCCATAGGGTGTGAGGCTAGAAGAGGGCATCGGATCTCCTGGAACTGGAGTTGCTGTTGTGAGCCACCATTTGAGTTCTGGGGACCAAACCTGGGTCCTCTGGAAAAGCAGCAAGTTTGCCTAACTGCCATATCTCCAGCCTCCAAAATAAAATATTTTAAAGCAAGTGAAAGGTATGTGAAAAAAAATGTGCATCATTGAAATGTCCTGGGGTGCAGGTGTTTCCAAAGCTTTTGGCTGCCTGACCCTGTGCTAAGGGAAAGTGGTGGGAAGCAAGGAGAATTGGAGTCCGGGGTGATGTTGATGTTGTTGGCAGCCTGAACTGCACAGAGTGGAGCCTCTTGCCCCCTGCCACAGAGGAGATGGCAATGCAGACAGCTTTGGTGAATGGCCGATTCATGGGTGATCCCTCACACGAGTATGAACACACTGAGCTCCAGAAGGTGAACGAGGGTGAGAAGGTCTTTGATGAAGAAGTGGTGGTAAGTGCAGGGGTGGGGGGTGCTGGAAGGGTCTGAGCAAATGCCTGACAGGGCTGAGGGTCAGCACAATGGGGGAATGTGTGAACACCACAGGCAAAGCCCTAGCATTCCCAGCTTCACAAGCCAAACCCAAATAAATCAACACAAGAACGGGGTTCCAGGGCTAGAGAGATGCTCAGTGGCTAAGAGCCCCGGCTGCTCTTTCAGAGGATCTAGGTTCCATTCCCAGCATCCAGGTGGAAACTTACAACCGTAACTCCAGTTCCAAGGGAGGCAATGCCTTCTTCGGACCTCTATGGGTACAACGTACACAAGTGGTATAGGAACATTCATGCAGGCAAAACACTCATACACATAAAAAGTAACAGGGTTCCAGTAGAAACAAGATCAAGTCCCACTGATTATCTATTGTCACCACGGTCACTACTGCCCAGGTGTGCACTGAGTCCCTGGGGGAAGCTAGGGGCTTGGCTGTTGCACTTGTATCAGTCCTGACTGACACCTCTGCAAAGGGGGTTCATCACCACCCAGGTGGTGGAGAAGAGGGCACTGGAGCTAGTGGCCAAGACCTGAGGGCAGGGCAAAGAGTGGATAGGCAGCTTGTGTAAAGCCTGGCTCCACATGGGGAGTCCAGGCTGAATCTTGAGGACAAGGAATGTGTATACCTGCAGATATTATGATGATGATTGATGATGATGATGATGATGATGATGATTTTATTATTGTTAATTGTCTTTTGAGACAGGGTTTCTCTGTGTTGCCTTGGCTATCCTGGAACTCGATCAGTAGACCATGCCTGCCTCTGCCTCCCAAGTGCTGGGATTAAAGGCGAGTGTCACTCTTGCCCAACTTATTATCTTACAATTTTGAGGATCAAAACTGGGTCTTATGCATTCTGAGAAACCACTCTGTGGTTGAAGTACATTTATTTATTTTGTATGTGGGGTTGGGCTCGCCTGTGGAAGTCAGGGAACAACTTGTGGGAGTCAATTCTGTCCTTATCCATGTAAATTCTAAAGTCTGAACTTTGGCCATTAGGCTTGATGGCAAGTACATAACCCACAGAGCCATCTGGCCAGCTCTTTTGAACTAATCTTAATTTTACTAGATAATACACCACATGGCTCCTGAGTCATAGGCACTAAAAGGAATGTAATAAAGTTTTCTTTTTTCCCTGCCTGCTGGGCAGGGAATCCCTTTTCTAGGGGACATTATGTAACTGTTTAGCATATGTGTTCCTGTGCAGTCCAGATCCTTCTGTGGCCTCACTGCCCTTAGGAGCTCAAAGGGTACAATCCAAGGCCCAGCATCCCACACCTGCATTTTCCCATGATCCTCAGGGGTCTGACTCCATTACAGAGAGCAGGCTGCTATTTCCAGAAACCCCTGGCCTCTATGTATGTTCTTTCCTCCCTAACAAACAGAATTAAAAGATGGCAGTGTGGGGCTGGAGAGTTGGCTCAGTCGTTAAAAGCACCTGCTGCTCTTGCAGAGGACCTGGCTCAATTTTAAGTACCCACATAGTGGCTCAAACCGCTATAGCTCTAATTCCAGAGGATCTGACAGGACACCCTCTTCTGACTTCAGTGGGTATCAGACATGCACACAGTGCCAGACATACATGCAGGCAAAACACCATTGTGTTTAGAGAATAGAACAGAACAGACATTTTTACACCATTGTGTTCAGAATGATAAAATAGAACAGACATTTTTGGGTTTTTTGTTTTTGTTTTTGTTTTTGTTTTGTTTTTTTTTTTTGGTTTTTTTGAGAAAGGGTTTCTCTGTGGCTTTGGAGGCTGTCCTGGAACTAGCTCTTGTAGACCAGGCTGGTCTCGAACTCACAGAGATCCATCTGCCTCTGCCTCTCGAGGGCCTGGGATTAAAGACATGTGCCACCAATGCCTGACTAGAACAAACATTAAAAAGGATGGCAGTGTGGTGTGCCCACAGTCCTGTCCATTGCTCTTTTCATAACGGTGTATCTTTCAGAGACCTTCCTATATCAGCACCACAGCCAGCTACCCTGCTTTTTGTGCCAGTTCTTTAAAATACCCATGTTTAAACAGTCTGATTAATGGAAAATAGCTTCCAGGCTTCAGCTCTGACAAACATGCTATGCCAAGCAGTGGCCTTGGACAGATGTCATTTCCAGCTTGTGCACTTTATCTAAAAGGCCAGTTCCTAGAAATGCCACTGGGTCAACAAGAAGGGAGCCCACGTCAGCTGAACCAATTCCTGGATTCCAAACCCAGCCTTACATTTGAACTTGAGTGATGCCTTAAGTCTGTCAGGCTGAGGAGGCAGTGGCAGCCTCACCTCCCATCTGATATATGCACTCCCCTAAGCCCCAGGTTCTCTTTCTGTACGGCTAGGATGACTATATTTGCTCTTACAAGCTTGTTCGAGTCACTAAGGTGACATTCACAGTCCCTGGGCTGGGGACATTCTGAATGCTAGTTTCTGCCTTCCCTTGTCAGCCTTGGTGGCTTTGTGAGTTCAGATGGATCAAGCGCAGCTTGCTCCCTCTCCTTACTGCTCCCCTCTGGTGTGAACTGCAATGGGATATCATCTGTGCAGGGACTAGTAACCTTGTGGGGAAATGCTTGGTGATGTCAAGCCTAAAGAAGGATGTTACAGAAACCATGATCCCAAATTTATTTTAAATATATGCATAAAAATAAAGAATAGAAAGAAGCCTATCAGTATGTTAGTGATTGAGAGGTAGTGGCCTTAATCCCCTTTGATATGCTTTTCTATGCTAGTGAGCACGACTACTTTCATATATATGAATTATGAATTATATAGGAAATCTTAATTATTATAGTTAGTGTGTCTGTGTATGTTTGCGTGTCTGTGTGTTTATGTGTGTGTCTGCGTGTGTGGATCTGTGTGTGTGTCTCTCTGTGTGTGCTTGGGCAAGTATGAGCTGTGGTGTAAGTGTGGCAGTCAGAAGACAACTCTGGGGAGTCAGCTCTTTCTTGGCACTTTAAAAACGAAAATGTATTTATTTTATGTGTACGAATGCTGTGCCTTAATGTAAAGTCTGTGTACCAGGTGAACAGGCTGTCGGACCCCTGGGACTGGAGTTACAGACGGTTGTGAGCTGCCATGTAGGTGCTGAAATTGAGCCCAGACCTTCTAGAAGAGCAGCCAGTGCTCTTGACCTCTGAGCCATCTCTCCAGCCCCTTCTACTTTTTAAAGACAAGGTCTCTATTGTTTCTGTTGCTGTGTTGCTTACTCTAGACTCGCTGCCCCTTGAGCTTCTGAGCAGTTCTATCTTTGCTTCCCATCTCATCACAGGAGTGCTGGGATTACAGATGTGTGCCACTGGATCCAGTGTCCAGCTTTTTACATGTGTTCCTGGGTCAGACAATCAGGCTTGCAAGTGCTTCACTGAGCCATCTACACACACACACACACACACACGCACTCACGCACGCACGCACGCACGCACAAGAACTCACACGCGCGTGCACGCACGCACACACCTTGAGGAGTAGTCTCATAGATCTTAAACTTGTCTTCAATTAGCTTATGTAGCTAAGGATGATGGGACTGAACTTCTGGTCCTCCTGTCTTTACCTCCCAAGTATAACTCCTAGTTTATGGGGTATTGGGGATTGAGCCATGGGCCTTTGAGGAAGTTAGGCAAGCATTTTTCCAACTGAACCAAATCCAAAACCTGCTTTCCTAACTTGTTGTGTTTGAGACAGATTGCAAGTAGGCCTGAAACTCTATATAATTAAGGATGATCTTGAACTCCTGGTCCCCCTGCCTCTACTTCTCAAGTGCGAGGGTTACAGGTAAATGCCAACACATCTGGTTTATTTGGTGTAAGGGATTTGAACCCAGAGCATTGCATACACTAGGCAAGAACTCTACCAACTGTGTTATATCCTTCAACCTGCTTTCCTTATTATTTATTTTCTTATTTACTTGTTGGTTTTTTGAGACAGGGTTTCTCTGTGTAGCCCTGGCTGTTCTGGAACTCATTTTGTAGACCAGCCTGGCTTCGAACTCACAGAGATGAGCCTGTCTGCCTCCCTAGTGCTGGGATTAAAGGCTCGAGCCACCACTGCACAGCTGCTCCATATTTTCAAAGCCAGAGTAAAACACCTTTAAGCACGATGATTTAATGGCATGTCTCTGGAAGGGGACATACAGACTCATCATGGTAGCTACTTGGGCCTGGAATTTTTTGTGGTTTGAATATTTTATTACCTATCTGTAGTACCAACTCAGGGAAGGAAAGGGGAAGGACATACACACACACACACACACACACACACACACACACACACACTCGGAGTGGGGAGTGGGGGAGACAAATGCTTACTCAGCACAATCCAGGTTCGGCTGATGGGGAAAAGAATAAGCCGTGCAGAGCTCTGTCCTTGCACCTGTGGTGAACAGGCACCCACTGGAAGGATGTTCCTTTCCTGTCTCTTCAGGTCCAAATCAAGGAAGAGACTCGCTTGGTGTCTATCGTCGACCAAATTGACAAAGCTGTAGCTATCATTCCCCGGGGTGCCCTCTTCAAGACTCCTTTTGGGGCCACCCAAGTCAATCGGACCTTTGAAGGTGAGTTTCTGTGGCCCTTTCAGAGCAGGGGATGCTAAGGCTCTGTTGTCTGGGTGACCAGGGGCATGCATCTGCCCTCCTTTGAGAAGAGTGGCTGTGTCCACAGCACTTGATGATGGGCCCCCTGGCCTGCTGCCGTTGGTTGGTGTCCTGATTTCATTGTTGCTGTGAACAGTACCCTAACAGAAAGTAGCAAAATGGAGGAGAAGGTACAGTCCATCTTAGCAGGAGCTTGAAACAGCAGTCACATTGTGGTTAACAGAAGAGAGAAAAGAGCATACAGAAGCACACCTATTTGTTTGCTTGCTTATGCTCAGCTCACTTTCTTTATTCTGATAAAGTTCAGGGTTCCCTGCCTAGGGAACTGCCCACAATGGGCTGAGTTTTTCCACATGAGTTAACAATGAAGATAATTCCCCAGACATGCCCATTGGCCAACTTGCTCTAGGTCATTGGTTCTCAACCTTCTTAATGCTAAAACTCTTTGATACAGTTCCTCATACTGTGGTGACCCCAATCATAAAATTATTTTCCTTGCTACTTCATAACCCTAATTTTGCTACTGTTATGAATCGTAATGTAAGTACTGACATGCAGCCCTGTGAAAAGGTCGTTCAACCTACAAAGGTTGAGAATCACTGCTCTAGAGACTTCTTCATTAAAACTCTCCCGGGCTGGACACGGAGATTTATGCTTTTAATCCCAGCACTCTGAAGGCAGAGGCTGAGACAAGTTTCACCATTTTCCCCCCTAGGAATAGAGATGAAAACATGTGTTCTTTCTTAGTGACTACATACTTTGGCTTAGAGAAAACACAAAAACAGAAAATAAGAGGAACTCCTTCTGAGCTCAAGGTCAGCCAGAGCTACCTAGTGAGACTCTGTCTAAGAAGAAAAAAAAAAAAAAAGCCAGGCGTTGGTGGCGCACGTCTTTAATCCCAGCACTTGGGAGGCAGAGGCAGGTGGATCTCTGTGAGTTTGAGGCCAGCTTGGTCTACAAAGCAAGTTCTAGGTCAGCTAGGATTGTTACACAGAGAAACCCTGTCTCAAAAAACAAACAAAAAATTAATTAAAAAACCAAACTGTTGGGCTGGAGAGATGGCTCAGAGGTTTAGAGCACTTGCTGCTCTTCCAGAGGTCCTGAGTTCGGTTCCCAGCAACCACATAGTGGCTGACAACCATCTGTTATGAGATCTGGTGCCCTCCTGCAGGAATATATGCAGGCAGAACACTGTATACATAATACAAATAAATAAATAAATAAATAAATAAATATTGTGTAAGTTTATCATGAGCAATATTTAAAAAAAAAAAAACCAAACTGTTTCCACAGGTGATTCTAAGTTGTGTCAAGTTGACAGTTCAAACAGTTGAAATGGGTTATCAGTCACTGGATCCTAAAGTGCAGAAAACCTGGATTTTCCTGGGTCAGAATTTCTGGCTCATGCTGTGTGTCTGGTGGACAGAGCCCTGTGCAGCCATCTCCCTTTGGTGGCAATCCCAGGAGAAGGGAGCGCTGGGCTTTGGGGTGACAGCTCTCTTGCCCACCTCCCCTCCCAGGCCTGCACTTGTCTGAAATCAGGAAGCTGAGCTCATACTTCCACTTCAGGGAAGCTATTGATCTGAAGAACAAGACCTTGCTTGAGAAGGCAGATTTGGATCCCTCTCTGGACTTCATGGACTCCCTGGAGTATGACATCCCCAAAGGTAACAAGCCATAATCTTTAGGATGTGGGACTGGCTTTCAGGTCAGAGCAGAAGGTCAATCCACCTACCTTTCTCCTTTCTCTAAGGCCGGGGCTGAGAACCTGGGCACTGTGACTTCTTGAGGGTGGGATTTGGTTGTCCAGTGGGGAGTCAGGAAGTAAAGTGTCTGATGTCTCCTGAGAATTTGAGAAGATCTGTTGTTGTTATCATTTTTTTTTCCCGAGACAGGGTTTCTCTGTGTAGCCCTGGCTGTCCTGGAATTCACTCTGTGGACCAGGCTGGCCTGCCTCTGCCTCCTGAGTACTGGGATCAAAGATCTGTGCCATCACGCCCAGCTAGACAGTTTTTGTTTTTTTTTGCAAGGAACACACTTGCCTGTTATCAGTGTGTTTCCTAGGAGTATAATATAGTGTATACCTGTAATCCAGGACAACCCTAATGTATCTGTATTTATATATGTGTATCCATCCACGTATGTTCATCATTAACTAGAGTTACCATGTTTTACAACAGAACTTTTAAATTTATTTCTCCTATCTGCTGTCATTCTATTTCCTGTGACCCTTGACATAACTTACTCCATGCTTCGTTTTATCTGCCTCCCTCTGGTAAGAGCCATTCTCCTCCTCTGCTTCTTTGAGACAAGGTGTCATGTGGTAGGAGGACCAGATGTTTAACGTAGTCCTTGGCTACACAGTAAATCCAAGGCCAGCCAGAGCTACATGAAACCCCAATTTTATATTATTATTATTATTATTATTATTATTATTATTATTATTATTATTATAGACAGGGTTCTCTGTGTAGTCTTGGCTGTCCTGGAACTCGCTCTGTAGACCAGGCTGGCCTCGAACTCACAGAGATCTGCCTGCCTCTGCCTCCTGAGCGCTGGGATTAAAGGCACGCACTACCCCACTCAGCCAAAAACCACAATTAAAAAAAATATTTCTAGTGGAAAAAACAAAACAAAACAAAAGCCATAGAGATGATCTGAGGCAGGCCCAGGAGTTCCTGGAAAACTTGGGTGGGAGAAGCGGCAGAGGCTGGAAGGTAGGTGTGTGAGCACATCTTGCCCATCTATGCACACCAGAAGGCAAGGTGCATGGGAGGACACGAAAGGGCAAGAAAGCCCTTCCTGTCTCAGAGCCAGTGCAGTGCCAGGTGCTAGATGATGCCCCCCCCCAGCAGCTGAATTCCACCGCATGGGGGCACCCAAGCCAAGTCACCTTGAGTGTGGGCTTATAGTAGTTGATAGGTGGCTTCTGGGGCCAGAAGGCAAGTGAATAGGGCCAGCGTGGATCTCACTTATCAGACACAACCCTGGTGTCCTTCCAGATTCTCTTGAGCCAAATGAGCTGCTGGGTGGCTCTCCTGCCTGGCAGAGGACAATGGGGATGC